TCTTTAAGACGTATATTTTAGAAGATATGCCCCTGATCATTTAAGAATCTTCAGAAACATTCGTTTTGAGACTCTTGCTACTTACTTTCCAGTGTTTGCTGAAGTTCATGAATGGTGCTAAGAAGAACGTGGAACTGTTTCCTTCTCAATTCCAGCTGTGTTGATGAGAAAAAAATTTAATACACGTTGGTCTGTATACCTATACAGATCACAAAGGCTCACATACACCATATGGAAATACCTTATCTTCGACACTTTCTTTAATATGTGAAAGATGCTCTAATTCTTTCCCCAGAGCCTCTAGTTCCCTGAAAAAAATTAAATACTGTTACATTTTGTTAATTGGAGGAACAGAATTCACAATTCATATTTAACTTTTTAGTTACTAAATAGTATTTTAAAAATAAAGGATAAGGAGTTGTAACACTCCATTATAATGAGCCTTTTAAAACTAAGGATGATTTCTTCTTAACTTCTAAATATGTACTTACTTTCATTTAAATTATATTTTTAGATGATTTTTAAAGTATAGGAAAACTTGATATCAGAATATCAAACGCTGAGAGTTAATAACTTTAACATTTTGTCATACCTACTTCAAGTCTTTTTTTTTTTTTTTTTGGTAAATTGAAGATTAACTTGAAATACCCTTTGAACTTTACCCCCAGTCTTGTAAACCAGGCCCTTTTCCCTTCTCTACTTCCTATTCAGGCAATCACTATATCATTCTCATCCTTTATACGCAAAGGTTTGTGTCTCTAAATAACACACAGTATGAGTATGTAATATTTAGGGAGGGTTCTCACTTTTATAAATGATTATTATTCTGTATATATTTCAGAAACTTAGGAATAATTTAAAATTGATTATATGTCTTCTGTTTTCCTTTTCAGTGATTATGTTTTTGAGATCTGTGTTTAAAAGTAGCTATCTGGTTTATTCTTTTTAATGGCTGTTTAGTATTCTACTATACGAGTAGACCGTATTCTATCTATTGATTTTTGTATTGATGCATATTATATACATTTATTTTAGAACTATAGGCAGTAATGTTGGAAGAAGGAAAAGTCTAATCAAGTGGTATCAGATTATATAATATCAAAGATCTGACCCCTCCTTTTGAAGCATATTCTGTTTTCCTGTAAACACGGAATGCATAGAGTAGTATGTGAACACTTATGTATCAAGATTAGTTCCTTTCAAAGTAAAGTTCTAAACTTACTTTAATGTCTCATGCCTGTCTGGATGATGCTGGATCACTTTTGCCAAAGCATCATATTCTGAAAGATAGAAAAATTTTTACCAAAGTAAAGTCTTTTGAACCTGGTTATAAAAACAAGACGTGTAACATCACAAATCTCTCCTAATCACTTTCCTAGTACGTACAGAAATGGAAACATTGAAGGATGGACAGAATATAGCCAGTTTCACTAGCTTCAATTATAACTGCAGTGCTACATGACTTCAAAGGTGTTCCAAACAAGGATTTTACCGCCCACTCTCTTTTTCCAGTTCCCTATCCCTGGGCAGGATATAAGGGGCTAGCTGAAGCGAAAATGAACAAAAGTCATTACTGAGCATCAAGTGGACTGATTCTGAAGAGAATCTTATTCACTGTTTGCCCCGCAAATAAAAGATCCGCAAGGTGAATATATCCTACCATTAATTTCAGATCTTAGACAACAAATTATATTTCTCATCCATTTCAAAGGTAAAGATTTCAGAAACTTAGAAATGATTTGTGATTCAGAAACTTTGATTATGCTCCACTGAGACTTCCAAGATAAGTCATACATCTGTTAACATTTCGCGTGAAACTATATATGGCAGCATTCATTTAAAAGCCTCATTAATCAATAAAAACACTGTAAAACATTTTTAAATGATTTTAGAATTGATACTAACTCTTAAATAAGTTGCTATATCTTGCTGTAAATTGGCCACTGCAACCTGACCACATGCATTTTAGACTTAATTCAAAAACTATCTTTTAAAAATAATTAAACATCATCTTAATTAGCTCATTAAAAAGTAAAATTCATTGTTTTGGAAATCTGTGTATTAAGTCAATAAAAGTGTGATTTTTTTTTAAATAAAAATTTTTGGATCACAAAATATTACATGCTTAATGTAAAAAAAAAAAAGAAACAAAAAAAACCCTAAGTCATAAAAACCCATAACACCAAAATAACCATTAACACCTATTTCCTTCTAGTTTTTTTATATATGTCACAATTCTGACTATTCATTATATATTTTATAATCTTTCTTTCAATTTACATTATAGGAGGAACAATGCCCTGCCATTACAAATTATTTTAAAATAGTTGTTCTGGACTAAAATAAGGATAGACTCTAATTTAAAAACAAAAGAGATCAGAACAAAACTAAACCTCTTATTAGAAATGTAGGCAGCCTGTAAATAATTGCTTGCTTTATATTTAATGAAAACTCGCTGAGCTTAAATTCTTTTTTTCTTTTTTTGAAAGTAGTTGATTAAACAAACCAAAAAACAACAAACAAAACCTTAAATCTAGTATAATTGTATAAATTGCCTTTGCTCATTAACAGTAACGTTATTTAGACAAAGGGGTCTGAGGACAGTAAACGAAATGAATACTTAAATACTTGTTTCATCAATACAATCCAACAATCAGAAAAATTTTTTTTCAACATGCCCTTCCTTCTCTCCTGTTTTAAAGAATAATATAGTTTTAAAGAGTTAAGTTTGGCCCCCTGTAATTCAGGTTGATTCTAGCTAAAGATTTCACCTCACAATGTAAAAAAAAAACTGCATGAAAATACTAGTCAGTAATAAAGTATTTGCACACTAAATCCCACAAAACCCTTACCTTGGCGATTTTTTCGTATCCGTTTTGCTTGAAGAATTTGCTTTTTGCACTCAGCAATTTTTTCATGTGCTCCAGCAATGCTACATTCTATATAAAAGACAGTTATAACAACATGTATACTCTCCATCCATTTTCAGTTTTAAAATGTCTTTAAGTTCCATTGCAAATGAAGTAGATCCTAGCATTTAAAAAATAGCTGTAACCCAAAGTATTGTATCATATGAAAATACATTTTTGAAAAAAAACTGAAGTATAGTCAGTTACAGTGTATCAATTTCTGGTGTACAATTTCTGGCATACAGCATAATGTCCCAGTCATGCATGTGTGTGTGTGTATATATATATATATATATATAGTGCATATTTGTTAAAATACATTTTTGTTGCTAATGTTTACTGTATTCTTTCCATTAATATTGTTATGGTTATTATTTTACCACTAACCAAAGAAAACTGTTGGCAGATACTGTTTCCCTTAGACTATAAAAATTAAGATTACAGATAGAAGCAATAATTACTTTAAGTTACTTTACCTATTTCTTTGTAGATTTTTTCATAATTTTCCATTTCTCTGAGATTCATATCATATACCAGCAAAGTTTTGCCCATGGAAAACTCACATTGGGACAGTGTGCTCAGCATACGTTGGTACTGGCTATAGCTAATAAAAAAGAGAGAAAAAGAGAGTAAAGATTTTGGAGGATTTCCAGTTGAATTATTATAGTGCAGGCACAGATTTGCTAAGCATATTATATTAAGTTCTGAGAGACTCATTTGCTTTATTTAAAATAATTTAGGATTTCTGTCCCTTATGTTTTTGTTTTCTGAATGCGGTTTACTTGAATTTATAAACTGTGTTAGTTACAAGTGAAAAGATAGGACTATAGTTCTTAGCAATATAAGCTTAATTCAACAACTATTTGTTAAATTTTGTTTAAAATACTTTTTAAAAATGCTTCAAGATGGTTTTTATCTTCATAATTCTGTTCTCATAAGTTTTTCACTCTATACAATTATTTAGCTATTATTTAGCTAATTTGAATGATTAAAAATATTTTAAGTTAAAAAGTTTTTGAATATATATGTATATAAAAGCTTGCAGCAACTTTTTATTAACATGTTAAAAAAGGAGAAAATTTCATTTAGATATTGTCTTACTAAATATTCATCTGCTTTTAAAAGTGACCAAATTAAATGAGTCTGAAATTAACCTTCATCTCTTCTTACCACTATGCCTTCTGCATATTTTAATAAACATAAAGCAGGCCTCTGAAGAGAAGGCCAGAAAAATCTACTCTGGATTTATAAAGTTAATTGCACTGGACATTTAAGGTGCGTGAAAATGTGAAATATTAACAGGACTGTCTATATGGTCTACAATTACATCAGGGCATTAGTATAGAATACAACACCAAAATGAAATACCCTTCTTCCTGGGATCCAGAGTTACACCATTTAATGAAACTTTTCACTAGCAGATTAATTCTCCGATCATCTCCGGCGCCATCTCCATCAATTAGGAGACGCTTCCGTATGACTTCGTCTGGAGGAAAGAATAATGTGAGTTAAAATGACTGGCTGGCTCTTGTTAACTCTCAGGGACAAATAACCAAAGCCACTACTCACTCATTTATCCAAAAGAAAATTATTCAAATGTAAATGTACTTAATGCCACAGAACTGTACACTTAAAATGGTAAATTTTATGTCAGGTAGGTTTTGCTATAATTTATATATATACATATGGAAAGTTACTGCGTGTCTACTGTGTATCAGGCACTGTTCTAGGGGTTGGGGTTGTAATAGTAAAAAGCTCTGCTTTCACAGAACTGGAATTCTACTGCTGGGTTGTTAAGTAGAAATAATTTTCAGGTACCACTGGGGGAAATCAGCCAACAATTCCTGGAGAACTTTTTTTTTTTGAAAAACCTGTTCAGACAGAAGACGTCCAAAGCTCTTATTCCTCTGAGTAGCGTGAGGTACTGGTAAAAGGAACAGGAAGATTTAAAAGATGTAGTGGCAGACTAGGAAAAGACAATGAGATGGGTCCGAGAAAAAGGAATGGGTTAGTTTAAAAAGAGGAAGTGTCTAATTTAGTTATCATATCTGTAATGTTTCTTTGCCCTTGAGGACTTTTTAAAAAAAGAAGTCTGTCTCTCTTTTGCTACAAAGAAAATAAAAAAAAAGGAATAAAAAAGCAGTGTAGATGATAACGATGTACTCAAGAAGGCCCTGTCTGGCAGCTCCGAGCCAGTGTTCCTCCTGGACAAGATAATGCTGGATCATAACAAGGGAAAGGCAAATTGAAACCCAGTGAGATACCATTTTCATCTCCCAGCCTGGCAAAGATCAGAAGACCTGATAATAAGTGTTGGCTACGGTGCTGAGAAACTGCACTTTACATGCACTGCTGGAATGGAAACCGGTGCCCTCTTTGCAGGGCAGCTGGGCGATAACAGAAAATATTCAAAACGCACGTACATTTTTGACCTCATTATTCCAATTCGAGGAATTCATCCTACAGAGACACGTGCACCCATGCACAAAGATAAATGTCAAGGGATGTTCTTAACAGTGCTGTTTGTACTAGAAAGATTGCAAACCTAAACATTCACCAGTAAGACACCGGTTAAATTATGAAACAGTCATTAAACGTAATACTATGCAGCCAAAAGAACAGTGTGGATGTATATACTGACGCCAAAAAATCTCCTTAAATATGTTAAATAAAATGGAAACAAAACAGGTGCAGAGAAGCACAGTTTGCTGCCATTTGTGTAGAAAAGGAGGAGGCTGTGTGTGTCTGTGTGCACCCATCACACATATATGTTTGTATATTCAGAGAATATCTTTAGAAGGAAATGTAAGAAACTGGGAATGGTGGTTGATTCTGGTGAGATGGATTATAGAAATGATGAGAAAAGATTTAATTTTTTACATGACTGTAGAATTGTCTGTTTTTCACCATGTGCATGCATTTTTAACAAATAAATTTTAAAGTGTGAGTAATTCCTGGACAGCCTGCTTGGTGAATCAACAGCAAAATCTTTAAACAATAGTTCCTGTGTGTAGGCAGAAGTATTTTTGGGCGCAGGTGCAGCGGAGATAAACTTTGGAAGGCAGATGGCTCCAGTTTTAAAATCTATTCTGTGACATCAGATAAATGTTTTTAGAATTGGGTTTTGTTCTCAGAGGCATGGCTCTGACACACTGACTACTCAAGCTACAGATTCATCAGGTGTTTTAATTTTAATTTTACACTTTAAAATACAAAGGGATGCTTTCCTTTTTTAACCACCAATGATGTTATTTGAGGAGACTGAGACAAAACACAGTCCCTGAAGAGATTTAAAATCCAGAAAGTAAAATTGATTTTTAAATATAACAAACATGTTTTAACTTTGTAAAAATAAAATTAAGCATCCAGTGGGTGAGCAGTCGGTGGGCAAATGATGTTCAATTTCTTTTTGATCTTATCTTTACTCTTCCAATCCCCTAGGAAAGCCTACCTTCCTCCCAGGTACTTGGGCATCTTACCCACTTTGCTGAGGACCAGGGATTTCAAATGTAAATGAATTCAGGGAATAGGGAAATTGGGGAGTGAGTACCTTAAGGGAGAAGCTATTACCAGGGCTGGTTTTTCAAGAGGTTTTTAAAGCTTGGTGACTAACTTAAAATGTTTTGAACACATTTTGTGATCATTTCCGCTGAATACTTAAGATCTGTGTACTTTTTATTTATGTAGGTGATATTCCAATTACAAAAGTTTTCGAAAAACATTTAAAGCACTGTACAGGCCAAAAAAAAAAAAAACCTGGGGGAAAAGGTTCAGGAGGGCCTGTTCTAGGTCTTGTTCATTCTGCTTCCTCTCCAGCCTCTCCTACTGTGTCTTTACATTTCTGATGCCCAATAAATATTTTTAGATTGGATTCACGGTGCCTGCCTGGGACCATCTGCCCTCCAAAGAGCTTTGTCTCAGTAAAACACTGACAAGGACTAGTGGGCTACTATCTTGTTTTCAGGTCCACGGCAAGTAAAAGGGGTTACCGAGGGATTGGGGGAGTATGTTGGGTAGATGAAGGACAGACTGGAAGATGGGAAAGTATTTTTATTATTATTTGATTTTTGAACCATGTAGGTGCTCAAAATCTGCTAGATGTTGTTTGAAAAAGAAAGCAGGCTAGGGTTGTGGTGATGGTATCATAGGCGTTTGTACATGTCCAAATGGATCAAGTTGTACACAGTATGTGCAGTTCTTTGTACATCAATTATATCTCAATAATGCTGTTTTTTGTTTTTTTTTTTAAAGTAAAAGAACTAAAGAAAGCAATCTAAAGTCATTTCCCTAACTCCCGCCCCAGGCAGGGAGAAAGCTGTGAGATTCAGCAGAGGTGGGGAAGGAAGGGCTGGATGTGGGATGAGAGCGCACTAGTGCACTGGGAGGCCGAATATGTGAAGACAGATTTCAAGACCCAAGGAGATAAAGGCAGCTAGAGGTCAGACTGTGGGAGTCCGCACTGGTCAATGCCATGCCATACTGGTAGACCTGGACCTTGCTGGTAGGCAACTGGGAGATGCTGAAGATTCATGGGTAGGACTTTCCACCCCATGGAGAATCAGGCTGAGGGCAGGTTTCAAAATGGATTGCAAGTGGCAAGCGCCCAAAGGGAGGGAGGCTACTGGGGAGGTTAACCAAAGTATACACAGGAGGAGCTAAAATGGCATGAATTAAAGTGGAGATCAGAGTCACAGGTCCTGGAAAGCAGAGTAAGGCTAAACAGAGATTTGGTTAGAAACAGCCAGGGGCCAATGCCAGCACCGGGTGGCCCGAGTAGGAGTGTGGGACAGCCAGGCCAGGCCAGACCCGGTGGGACAGGAGATTTCCTGTCTAGGCATTCACAGCTCTTTCTCCTTCAGCCCTCTCCCTCTTTGGTCTACAGAGCTTTCCTCACAGCCAAACCCTGGGCCAGAAGTCAAAAGCCGAGGCCGATGTTCTGGCTTGTCCACAGCACTGACTTTATGCGTGCGGCCAAGTTTTAACTTCACCTGTGAAAATGGGAAGACAACTATCCACTTGATAGGACTGCTTTTATTATGGAAATAAAAGTAAACAAAGGAGCATAATGCCTGTTCACCGTAGGAAGGCAAACACTTTAAACAGTGATTCTTGTCTTCATGTTAACTTTCATCCACAACTTAATGTTAAAAAGTGAGTAAACGTTGGTGACACATCTGTAGATAAATCTATATACTGATGTAGGTAGATATTATGCACTTATGCCTACAAAGTTTTGTCCAGCTATGATTTCTCACGAATTTGCTTCTGTCTCAAGCTTCAGACTGCAGTGTCATGGTGTTTCTAGCTTAAACTGCGTAGAGTTGCTGCCGAGGAAATTCTCTGGGGACGAGAATGACTGAAATAACATACATCAGGTACAGAGCACAGCTCCAAAAGCAATAAAATAAAACAAAAGTGTTAAGATGCTAGTTTGAAAACAGGTACTATTTTTCTTAAATTTAAAGATGGCTGGCTGCTGACGGTTCCTAGGATGTATGACACGAGCATTATTATTTTTAATGGTACCTCATCAATTAGTTCTAGACTGAACACACCTAAAACACGTTCTGTTTACTGTATACACTGACGTCATAAATTATTATCATGCTTGAAGTTCTCTGTAAGTAATCTGAATGCTAATATTAATTCTGGCGGGCCTTGGTTCATCTGTAAAAACAGTGAAGATGGCTCAGAAACTGTTTTAGTGAGTTTTTCAACGTCATTCCTTAGTTGTTACAATTACTTTACCGACTATGAGAATCACAACCATCTGGCAAAAGCCTTTAAACCAAAATACCCAACGTCTGCCCTGAGAATGGTGGCTTTCCACCTGATTTGAGACTTGTAGGAAGATTTCCTGCTGGATTCAGTTAGATGTTGTACCGTTAGCACACCTACAAAACGTCTGCCATTCAAAAATCACTTTCAAATCAGTTATGACCCCTGAAGGCTGATAAGCAAATATTTACTCGTAAAATTGGGATGTCTTTCAGACCTCTTCTTGTGTTATGTCATCCTATACCTAGGAGAAATACAAAACTGAATTAAGATACTAGATAAGTCTCAAAAAGTCCTTTTAACAGGGTAGATTTTAATGCCCAATTTTCCATAAAAAGAGAGGCAGGAAGAAATGACTCCTTTATAGTCACTAAACCAACTCTTCATTTCCAAGCCTTTGGTCGGATGACGCAGCCACGTTAGCAGTGCTCCCATTTTGGTGTGCAAAGGACAATCTCTCATAAACCCAGACTAACATTCCTTTCAAAACCCCTAATTGTTATTCCCTCAACGTGGCTATTAAAACCTTGATTACAAAACAAGTTTTCACAGCATCTGGGAGCAAATACTCAAAAATTGAAAGAGAAGAACAACTTGGAAGATCATGGTGGACCAAGTTCCAAACACTGACTTTAGGGGCAGGTCAAGGCTTGACAACCAGTGGGCAGAGCCTTGCTGTTATGTAACTTCTCACTAGGCCTGAGCTACTGTCACATGAGTGCCTCTCCAATCTGCTAGACCTCACAGCACCCCCATCTCACCTGCTTTTAGGAAAAAGCAATTCTGTCAACAGCGAGGATCAGTATTTCCTTTCTAAAGGCAGTTTACTAAGAAATTTTGTGGGCACGCAAACTCACCACTGGCTTTTTCTTGGTGTTCCTAAACACCCTGCACCCATACTGAAAACCACAGGAAGGGATAACAATTGCAGACAAGATTACAGTGGATAAAACAGCTGGTTTCTAGGGCAATGCAGCACTATGTATTGAAATTAAAAATACATATACCCTTGACCTGTCTTCTGGAAATGATTTCCACAAGGGTGCAAAGACATCTACCCAAATGTCTCCATTGTCATACTATTTGTAAGAGTAAAAAAAAAAAAAAACTAGAAATAACAAAAAAATGTTTAGAAGGGGATTGATTTAAAAAAGAAATAATAGAATATCAGAGAGTAAGGTACAAAGAGCTCCAAAATGTATTAGCAAGAGCTCCAAGATATATCATTCATTATGGAAATATAATACAGAAGGGTATGTAAACATTTTAAATGCCTTTCATGGCATTTAAAAATTATCCTGGAAGGGTACACAAAAAACACTTCCCTGTAATTACCACTGGAGAGAGGGATCAGCAGTGGAAAGTCAAGAGGGAAGGTTTACACTTGTCACTTGGAGCATTTCTTCTTGAGTTTCCCGATATGTTTCACTTTTCTTCCTTAAAAATATCAACAGTGGTCACCTGGATAGAGAGCTTTTTAGTCATTTTGAGGTATTTTTCTTCGTGGTTTTTTTCTGTATTAAAAATTCTAATCAACGTTCTTTAATAAATCTATAATAACGTGTTACCAAGAAAAAAAACTGGATTGACCTGATCTACTAAGAGGAGACACTAAGGTCATGTTAAGACAATGTGTGTGCAGATTCCTGTTAGATTTGTCATTCGCTCACCACTGCTCATGGGTTATTAAGCTGAATTACGTATCTCTCATTGTGTTAGATTCCTAATGGTAAGATAACACCTAGCCCCGCCTTTCAAGAAGCTTAAAATCATTAAGACAATTTTTAAGGCCAACAACATTAAGACACAAAAAAGGCAGGTGGGAAGAATAATAACTAAGATGGTTTGATTCTTCTATGTAAATCCTGATCTCTCATGAGATACTTAGGCCCAGTCTAAATAAATTGCTGATGCCGAAGTAAATTATGTAAACCAAAGTTAAATTAAAAATTTTAAAAAGAAAAGCAAGAAATTCATGTTGAGGGCCTTTGTTTTTCTTTGGGTTTATTTAAATGTTCAAAGTATGGTGCTAATAGTTTAAAAAAAGAAAGTATGGTGCTAATAAAGTCAAGGTTGAAACTCCAATTGTGCTTTGAGACACTATTTATTTATCTTGACTAAAAAAATTTATTTAATAGTTGAACTGCTTCAGTAACCCTGTGCTTAGGACCACAGATAAGGCAACAAAATGGATAAATCCATTGGCACTAGCAAAAAAAAAAAAAGCCGAACAAATCCTGTGGCCACAAATGTCCAATGCTGGACCAGCAATTGAAATCGGAGTGACAGCAGCAGGGGACATATGCAGAGCATTGACACACGCCTATTTGGTGATCATACTTGTTTGTTTGCTTTCACTCTGAAAAGTGTCCTGGTCTAGACAAACAAACGGTCACTCAACTTGGAAGTGCTTTGCATATATTATCACACTTCATCCTTAGGAAAAAAAAATCTATAAAGTGTGCATTATTATCTTCCTTTTACAGATGAGTAGTGTCGTATCTGCAGTCATAGGAAAATATACACAATTACATTATTAGAAAGTCATAGTGCCATTCCATTGTTCTGTCACATTGTTCATGCGCATATTAAAAACTATTATTTCAAGTATTAACAAGCATATTATCCACGCATTCCACTTCGTAATCACAACAAAACAAAACACCGTCGGAACCAACAAGCTCTATTAAATGGAACATAGAGCCTCATCCCACCCCCACCACCCACTTCTCATCTCCCATCTGTTGCTCTGGCATATCAATATACCTCCCTAATGTTCTCTGTGCTGCAAAAAGCGCTTCTGAAATGGTTTCTGTCAGGGTACTAACACTGTTTAACACCCTTTACATTAACACATACAAAATATAAACTGTGAACATAGTTTAAATTAACAGTGACAACATCTAAAACTATTTTTCAGTTAGCCACAATGCTGAGGTGGCAACAGGGGAGGAGAGAGAATGGCTTTACCAATAACTAGGTGTGACAGTAAGCCACTAACTTCCTAGGACCTCCATTTTTTCCATCTAAAGATGATGGTATTGGTGATATTATTCATTGTTCAGTATCTGTGGATAACAATATAGTGCTTCTCTTTCCCTTTGAGGAGGGCAGTTCCTCAAATTAACCAATGTGTCCTTGTACAGGAAATAAAGAGTTTCTCCTCAAAGAGCTCCCAGTCCCCACTGGACATGCCAACCCATAATAAGTAAGGATTACATGAAGGTACAGCGTCTTGAGAGGCACTCAAAATTAGTGAGAGGACATCAGCCCTCCTCTGAGCTCCAGACAGGTACTGGTACTCCTGCAAGACGTTTCGGGAGGCTGATGGAGACACGGAGGCTGTCCACTCCACAGTCTTCTCCGCTGCCATCATCCTACTCCAGGCCCACCTCGTCTCTCACTTGGAATACTTCTCGTTGGCCTCTCTGCTTCCATTCTTGCCTTCCTAGAATCCGTTCTCTACACAGTAACCCAGGATGATGATCCAAAAGATATATCAGATCACTAACTCTTCTGCTGAAAACCCTCCAATCATTTCGGAGTGCCCACAGAAGACCATCTGATCTCCCTTCCATGGCCTGTAAGGCTCTTTGTGAGCTCCTGTTTATTTCTCTGACCTCCTGTCATACCACCCCTGTCCTGGCCCTCCTGGATCCAGTCCCACTGGCCTTCCGTATCTCCCCTGAATGGTGCAGAGTGTGTGTTCACCTCAGGTCTTTGCACTAGTTATTGCCTCTCTCTGCAATACTTTCCTGGGCTCCTCACACAGTTGACCTCTCCAGGTCTTACTTTAAATGTCACTTTTCAGAGAGGTCATACATGGTCACCTAAGTTTAACCTAATTGTTGGCAGTCCTCTCCCATGACTCTCTCATGTTCCATCCAATTCATTCTCAGAATTTAACTGAGTTCTTTCTCAGAAGTGATCTTACTTCTTTGATTGCATGCTGCTGCTTCCCTCCCGCAAGCAAGAGCCAGACTTCCCTCTGTACAGTCTAATGCTGCAACCGGCACTGTGCCTAGAAGGTATGCAATAGATATTTGTTGACCTATTACACATATCGCTCACTCCTGCTTGATTCTTACCAAAAGCTCAGTTGAGGAAAACCAACTCTACGGAGATTGCCTAAAGAAATTATAGCTCGTCCTTTCCTTTCTGCTCCAGATAACTCTTAAAACAAGCCAAAAAGCCTTGCTCTGAAATAAGGCAGACCAGCACGGCTCTCCTAACCCATATGGTCCAGCAGCTTTAGGATGCCTTTCTATATTGTGATCCAGCCTTCTCTGACCTAGTAAAGGATTGGCTAAGAAACAGCTTTATGATCCTCAATGCTGAAAAGAGGTTAAGGATATGACACTGGCTTCTTTATAAGGACCTTAAAGATAAGCATTCCTTCTACTGCTTAACTTAAAAAAAGTAAAAAAAAATTTTAAACCCTGCTTGTCCCGGGTGTTTAATGTTATCTTCCTTCTCTCATGAACTCCAGATCACAGGACAGACCAAGTCCTGCTTCCTGGTATAGCCACCTAGAGAAACAAGTCACTTGCCGCTTTAATTACACAGACTCGACCCTCTGATTACGAGGATCACCCCACTTCCAACCTCCTCTTGTTTTTACTAGTCTCCATCTTCTTTTTGCCACGTTTCCTCATCCAAACATGTTTTTAAATGTTTTCTCATTATAATGAGCTGCTTTAAATATTTTCTGGCATATGGCATATAGGCGAATTAAGTACTGAGGGCTATGGAAGCAATATGCATAAGATAATATGGTTAATAGGTGAAAGGTCAACTGGCTGGAGAAAAGAGCAGAGAAGAGAATATTTGATGTGGGTCATGAAGAAGAAATGAGAGGTCATCAGGCAAAAAACGCAGGGGGAGGCAATCTGCACAGAGAGAGTGGGAGAGAGCACAGACCCCGTGGAAGGAAAGTGGAGGAGAGGCAAGTAAACCAACTCTTACATTTAACAGTATTTACTGAACATTACCATGTATTGGACTCAGTGCAAAGCACTTGACAACTTTTATTGCCTCTAATCCTCCAAACCAGCCTATGAGGAAGACTTTATTATTATCCCCATTTACAAGGAGTAAAACTGAGGCTCAAAGAGGTTAGTTAACCAATACAAGGTCAATCTGCTTCTAAGTGGCAGAGTGGGGATTCTGATGCTTCTAAGGGTGTAAGGGGCACGTGACTGCAGTCTTTGCAATCTCTTAAATCCCGACATTCTACCTCATAAATTTTTCTCCCACTCCTGATCTACCTTAGGTGACCCC